AGCTTGTCTCGAATGAGGCTTATAAACAGCCCTAGCAAGCTAAGCGAGAAATAATGGTCAAGCGACAATTAAGCTAAGAACTTGGGTCGACACTCAATAGGCCAAAAAGGAAATTGTAGTTCTAAAAAAATGAAGAACAAAATTTTTTGAATTAAAATTTTTGCCACCCATTCCTCTTGAAACGTGCAAAATTTTTATAAAAAAATGTCCGTAAGACTACGCAGCATAAGTTGACTAAGTCCATATAACATAAGCCTAACCCGTTGAGACGAAAAAAAAATTAACATAATATTCAAAATCAGAATTGATATTTTTACAAACTACAGAACAATTTTCCTTGACTTTTTTCCAGTTTTGTGATACTAAGAAAAGAGGGTAAATTTTGAAATTCAAAATATTCAGCTTGATCAAAGAATTTTTCTGGTTTCGTTAAAAATAAAGAAGAGTGAAACTTTTTGAGAAATTGGAATTTGCCAAAAGTTATTTTTCTTACAAGATTTAAGGGGTAGCCGCTCATACACGGAGGCTTCTCTCAATCTGATGTCATGCCTCGATTAGGCTTTAGAAATCAGTTTTGGTTGGGTTGTTTTTCAGAAAAAAAATTCAAAAAACGGACAAGATGTTCTAACATAAACTTTTCTGAGTGACATAACTTTTTTTGAAAAAAGAATTAGTTGTAGCAGCTTATACAAGAGAGCTTCTCTCATCTCTTTCTTTTTATTGAGCCCAAATTCTCACATTTAGTAGGGTCCCGCATAACAAATCAAAAACTTTTAAAAAATCAAAAATTCCTAAAAATTTGATATTTCCGAGGGACATATATTTTTGTAAAACAATTGGGCTAAGCCGCTGATGTGGAAAAGCTTCCCACAATCCATTCTTTTGATTCAACCCAAAATCTAAATTTTGAGAGGGTAGTTTTGGAGAATAGTCAAATTTCAAAAAACGTTCGAAAAATCAAACATTTGAGTACTTCGAGAGCCATAAGTTTTTTTTGTTAAAAATATTGGGGAAAGCCGCATAAGCACCGGAGTTTCTCTCAGCTCATTCTTTTGATTGAACTTGAAATCTCAAATAAAGAGGACAATTTTCGAGAAAGGGCAAAAAAGACAAAAAACTGTCAAAAGAACAAAACTTTGGCATTTTAAGAGGGCGATAAATTTTTGTGTTAAGAATTCGGGCACAGCCGCTCATGCAGGGGAGCTTCACACAACCTGTTTGTTGAATTGAACTCAAAAATTCAAATACTGAAGCCTAGTGTTCCGACTACGTCAAATTTTTTTTAAAAAGTGTGTCACAGCCGCTAACACAGGGGTCCTTCCCGCAATATGTTCTCTCCATTGATACAAAAATTGACAATGGAGAAGGCATTTTTGAGAAAAGTCGGAAAAATTTAAAAAAAAAATGGACTAAAAAATCATATATTTGACTTTTCCGAGGGCCGTAACAGTTTAATGGAACAAAATTTGGTCAAAACCGCTATTGCAGGGGCTCTTAATATAACCAGTGCTTGCGAGTGAAAGAAATTCCCTGTTTTGGATTTGCCGTTGTAGAGAAAAATCAAAATTTTTCAAAAAAATTGTTTTTTTAATGAATTAATTAAAACTGCAGGAACAAAAAAGCTTGTGAAAAAAATGTGAGAAATCAGGTCAAAAACAAACTAATTTTTTAGTTTTATTTTGGGTCTGAATACTGGGAAAGAGTTTTTTTTCGACAACGTCTTATATGTTTGATAATTTAATGTCTATAACAGATTGTAAGGGTTCTAATTTGATTTCGTTCCTTTGCAACTGAGAACTGTTTTTGAGGCAGTTAAAATGACCAGACTCACCCTGCGCGATAGTTCTATTAGTTAATTGGAGAGTTATTACGTACAAAAAATTTTAAAGTTGACTCAAACGTATTTTGAAACGTGGCTTGAAAAAAGATGAAAAAGAGCCAACTATCAAAACCACGAATCGTAAAACAAATTTGAGACTTGTTTCAAAACAACTCAATGAAACTTGCGCTAGACGTTATAGCAACTCTTAGTATTTTAAGAAAATGAACACGTCCGTACTCATACTTTCCAGCAACTGCACGTAATTTTTACACATGACTAAGAAAAGTAGCTTAATGGAGAAAAAAAATTAACCATACTTTTTGTACTTCAAATACAAAAAAAAACCTTCAATGGAGAATTAAATTCAATAAACAGTTAGAAAACAGAAGTTCAATTTCAAGACAAGATATGCAAACACAACAGAAGCAAATTTTACGATTAACACTGTAACAGAGCATAACAACCAAACCAAAAGTACTCTTCGAATGCACAAAAACTTTCTAGTCTCATCATTTAGACAACAACGAATGAACGCGAGAACGCTCCCGCTCAAGAACTCAATAGAAAAAAAATCATTACATTTGTGTCGTATTGTCAGTGTCTATGAAAGTGTAAGTTATAATTATTTTTTAAATCAATTAAAAAATTATAATTACGCTTGATTTGCATTGAATTATTTTGCTTATTTAATTTGTTTTGCCTATGCAAAACAATCCATTGTAAATCAATTATATCTGAATATTTTTTCTTTTCATAGATACTGACAATGAAATTTATATGCAATGAAGTTTTATCAAAAAATCCTGTGCGGAAACGTTCTCTCTTTTAATCTTTGTTGTCTATAACTAGTTACCAGAGAGTTTTTGGATTCAAAACTAATATTTGGTTTGCTTTTTTGCTATATTCCAGTTATTTTGTTATCATTTGCTTTTTGTAAATAAAAGTCATTTCAAACATTCAAAATCAATTATTTGAAATTTACTTTGAATAAACATCTACAAAGAAAAAAAACGGTCGTTGAAATCAAAACAACATCAAAGTAAATTTCAAATAAATGATTTTGATTGTTTGAAATGACTTTTACTTACAAAAAGCAAATGATTAGATTTGTTGAAGTTTCATAACTTTCAAATCTAGCTGGCTAAAAATGGCCAAATGCCGTTTTTAAATGTTGTCATTTTCAAGTTTAAGCAATTACTGGTCGATTGGCACAGAAAGGCATCAATCAACGCAATTTCTATAATACAAAACTGAAAAAAAAAAATTTTAAAATCATTTCTGCTTTTGTGCGTGTTTGGAGAAAGTAGAGTGACAAATGGCTACAGTTGACCACAAGTTAAACTTCAAAAATGAATAAAAAGAATTATTTTTCTCCATTTGTAAAATAAATTTTTTTAAATAATTTTTTCGTGCCAAAAGCGTTAACTGAAGCTTCAAAAACGGGTTTTCTCTAAGCAACGTCGCTGTACTTTGCAAACACAAGATTTACTCCTTGGTTTGGAAAGCAGAGTGATCTTCGTAATATACAGTTACGATTGCTAGTCCTTAAAAAAAGCTTTTTACTCTACTTGCTTAGTTTACGCGCTGTAAGTCGGCCCAGTCAATAATTTTTAAAACAGTTCTGTCAGAAGATTCAAAAGTGTTTTCGAAATAGAAAAAAGATGCAACAAACGTGGTCTATCTGGGGATTTATTGGCAGAAGGCTTGAAATTTTTAGTTTATCTAAAAAGCATAAGTTTTTCAGTATCTGCTTATTACAAGATTAATAAGTTTTCGTATACATAATAAAAATATCATTTAATTCAGGAGGAAGACGATATTTACAAACTAGTTAAATTTGAAGTCGAACATTGCACCAGTTTTAAGTGCGTGAAATAATCACCAAACAAAGCTTATGATGGACCACGAAGATCTAGTGGCTTTCAGTCTGACAGATAGTTTGAATATTGCACAACTGCTCGTATTAGGGTGCTTCATTAGTAAATCAGATCGCCGTGAAAGATTGACTAATATTTTTGCTCAAAAGAACAGCATTACTTAAATCAGGAACCAAATTTCTGAAACTCGTGGCTCAAACTTTTTATCTTCGTCGGATATTGCGGTTGCAAAAAGGGCATTTTGTTCGGACCACGGATATCTTTGAAGACAATTCCTGAAAATATAAGCAAAAGCAAACACGTTAAATAAAAAAAACCGAAAGCTACCTTAAGCTGGCAAATCGGCAAAATACCATAAGATGTGTTATTAAAGTGTTCTTTTTCGCAACATTTCTCTTTTTGTAACTTTCAAATGTCGCAGATAAAGTCCAAGTTAAAATTAAGTGAATTTCAAAAATTTTCTGTGATAGCCGCTTTTACAGAAAATTGGCTCGATAGATTTTTTTCCGTTACTTGTTCTGAAAATGAAGTCTACTTTTGAAAATTTTTCTCATTTTCCTGGCATTTCTACTTTTGTTATTAGTGTATTTAGCGTGAGCAAATTGCAAAACCTTCTAGCAAAAAAACATACGATCTAAATACGGGATAAATTTACTATTCCGCTGAGAACATGTAAATTAAAGATGACTATGAAAGCTTCCATTTTTTCGTAATTTGCTCGCTTCATTGAACAGCTCATGTTGTCTTCCTTTTGATTAATGAATTAGTAATCTGAAAAGGTTTTCAAGTAGAAACCTCCTACGATTTTAGAACCCAACTGCGGATGCTCAGTTTTCACAGCCCGAAAAATTCAAAATCCAAAGACGTCTTTATTTTTTGTGCCAAAGACGTTTCAATTTTTGTTTATAAGACATTCTCATTTTATGGGCTCTGCTGGTTCTTACTAGTTGCACCTAATTTTGTTATTCAAGATATTGCCGAAGATGATTTCTCTTTGTTCAATATCGCATTCATATCAAACTTGAAAAATAAGATCGCTGCAATTTTCTGCTAGATCATTAGAAATCGCTTAGGGTTGAAAGGATGCTCCTTGTGTTCATACAGACGTATTCTGTCATCATTTCTATTATGCTTCACATCTACAGCGAACTTTTATAAAACTGGAAAAACTTTGAAAGATGGTTAAAACTAGTCATCAGTGAACACTGTCTCCATCAGTATTATCGTTTTCCCAAATGTTCCTAAATTTATCCTGCAATTTATTGTTTATGTCACGAATGTTATTTCTAGTAAATGCCCTTTTTTGTTTGTCGCCTTTATTGCTTGAAATACATTTTTCGCTGTTAAATATCATACTTGAAAGCACCACGGGATGAGCTGATGAAAGAAAAACCAGATCAACACTTTTTAAATTTTCAAGACAAAACTTAATCTACAATTTGAAACATGACTTATTTGAATGGAAATTATTAGTGCGTGTATAAAATATAATTTACAGAAATTAAGGCTGATGTTTTCTTGCTTGTTTATGACAAAATTGAAGTAGAAAAAAGTTATCTCAACATCCATATATGTGATATTTTAATCAAACTTAAACTGAGTCAAAGTCAAGCTGAAACAAGAGATGAAAATAATTTATAACAGGATGACAGTTAAGCCAAAAAATAGAAGACTTGGCATTCATATGTGGGTCATGCGAAAAACCGATATTTCTGGCAGAATAATCCGATGATCTGTCTTCAGATTACAAGTCGCACACATCATGTACTTGATACATCACAAGCTATTAGGGTATAACGCTGCTGAGCACAGATGAACTTTCAATAGTTTGAGCATTGATAAATGTACTTGAACAAAATTAAACAAGCATAGGAACGAATTTTTATTTTACAGAGGCAGCAGCCCTTTAAATTCGTATTCCAAGTCAAAGCTCCGTAAAAAAATATAACGTAAGCAAACGCCAATCCGTTATTATCACCAAATTGTCTTAATTCAGGTTCTTAAATATTTACGCTAGATCAAATACTTGAAGACTAAGTTAGTTTTTTCATGTCTAAGTCTGTCTGAAAGGTCCAGTGGTTTTGGAGAGTGAATATAGAACAATTTCATTCCTTCGCTGATGAAAGTTTTTCTAGTTAATTTTTGCATTTATTGTTCTACTTGTCTAGACACTTATGACTGTCTGACTGGTCTCGGAGGGGGTTCCTTCTGGTGTGAGTTGTGGAATGCACACCGCACTAGAGTGTAGGGGAAGACTGCCTCCAAGGCATCCATGCTTAAATAGGGACAGTCCTCCACTATTTGCTTCAACACCAGATAAGTTGTGTCACGTGATCTGCGCGACATCAACAGCGTCGCCGGGCTCATCGCACCTGTAACCCACACACTCATTTTCAAATCATCATACCAAAATAAAAAAAGATATTTCAACAATCATTTGGTCTACCAGGAGAAAACACCTACCAGGATAAAAGGTCAAAAGATAGCAATTAACACAGAGGCGAAGTTGAACTTCGCATACACAAGCAAAAATATGACCGATAACGCTTCTGGGAAAAACTGAATGAGTAAAACTTTGAGGCTACAAAACTTCATAAGTGACGCACGCCAATTATGAGTTGTTAAGTGACGCAAGCCAATTATGACGCGTTAGCAGTACGGATCTTTTTCCTTTTCCCCCACTTGCATATTTTCATGATTCAAATTACTGTTCACATTGTCCGGTTGTCATGAAAATTGACATGCAGACTAATTAGGCCATGACAAACATATTTGATCTTCATAATCAATCTGGTAAAACCACTCCTTTGACCATAAAATTGATGTGCGTGTGTGAGGTGGGTGGGGGGGGGGGGGTGGTGAGGGGGGAGAAAAAAGATCCAGCAGTACCAATCAATTTGAAAAAAAAATTACCAACTAATATGCCTCAATTTATGGAGCGGACGCATTTTAATTAGTTTACGAAAAGTTCATAAAAACATCCGACCCTGTTCAGGTTCCAACCCTCTTATTTTGCTGCTGGTCTCCTTCCCTACCTCTACGCTACAAAACCATGATACCTCGAAGCTAAAGTGCTATTTGTAATATAATAGTCAGTGTTAACACATCCTTAGCATTGGCTGTACTTAATAGCTGGATCAAAATGAACACTTTCAAAATGAAATTTTGTCGCAACAATTGCATCGCAACAATATTTGCGACTTAGGTTGGAAAAAAAAAGAAAGTTCAAACTATAACACAAGCTATGCTTGTGTAAATACCACGACCATCCATCATACAACGAAGTAAAAATTTTTCGCAATATTTTTCAAGGAAAACTATCAATATTTAGAATAGTTTGAATTTGAGTGAAAACGTTTATTGAAGTCACAAACCAGCCGAGTCCCCACTTCCTCCGTCAGCCGGCGACTGTGCATTGCCTCCCTCCGACATCCTCAACACACAGCTGGAGGCGTGAGTGAGGAATCGCACGAAGCAGTTCCTGATGTACTCTTCTTCCGGCTGAGGCAACATCAACAGGGTCATTGTGATGATAGAGTTGACTGCCTTGCCAATACACAAGGCGTTGCTACCACTCGCTGAAACCACAAATATTAAATTGTTCGTATCTCATTTTTTTTTCAATTGACGCAACAAAAAAGAACGTAATAAAATTGATAGAAAGTAACTTTAAAGGAGAAAGAAAACAAAAACAAAAAGACGTTATTAACAATTTTTTCTGCAGATTCGGCATGAGATATTAGGGAAGCATTGATACTAAACGTCTATTATTCAGTTTGTTTCAAAGCGCGTTTTTTATTTTAATCATAAAAATGTTATCTTTATGATTAGCATCATATTGTTTTTACAACGCAATCCAAGTTCAAAAAAATGCGAAGATCATTTATAATCTACGCAAATCTAAATTGAACAATAGAAACTCTACTGAGACAGTGGTGACAACTTAAAAACATAACGAAAGAAATACATTTCCGAAGTCGAAACGATATCCGCAAACTGAAAACCATGCCCAACTGACAAATTGTTTTGAAAAGAGGTCATTTCCGTAGAATTAAAGAACAGATAAATTACCGCTAGATTTGTACACTATTCCTAAATTTTCAACGAAGTTGAAAGGATTCAGAGGCATTAACAACAGGTCAAAAACAAATCAGAAAAATTTTGATCTAAGGAATTCATTAAAAGTAATACCATCATCTCAATCAAAGCGATTCTCTTTCAGGTGACATTTATAAATGACATTTTTGATATGATTATGGACTATGGACATAACACAAGCACGTAATCGTATGAATTTTGACCACAGCTTTCAACTCAGATTTACTGAAGCTGAAGGAGAAGGCTTTAAAAGAGCCATGCTACAAAATAATACACGTGGTTATGACTCACTTTCATAGTAGCGGTTGAAGGGTAGGTTGTGCAGCTCCACAATGTCAGGCAGCGATAATCCGAAGAGAGTGATGAAACAGTTCACTAATTGGTCATTCTCGTGCTTAGTGCCAGTTCCTACGTGAAAACAAAAACTATTTAACATAGCCAACAGACAATTCGAAAAATTTGTATGAACTGAAGGAAACCAAAAAAAAACGATCGAACTTTTTTTAACACTCGAAATCCTGGGAAAAATCAAACACGTTGAAACTCTTTGAATTTTTAGAATTTGGGTGACTGGCACTATTCCATAAAATAAACCAAATTTGAGAAAATTAGATCAATATGTAATGTTTTTTTTTCTGCTGGGAAATCTAAAAATTAAAATTCACTTACCAAACAAACAGACATACAGGTTTTTTTTTCGCGCCATTTGCACATTACTACTTGAGATTTTAATTTGCCTTTCTTTTAGCAAACGAAACTTAATTCAACTTAAGCACAGTCGACCGAAGATTGAAAAAGAGTAATAAACGCAAGTAAACATAAAAAATAACACTTGACATTCTTGAAAAAATCTCAACTTTCCAATTTCAAAGAAAAAATAGATGCCCTTTAAGATCTTTGAATTTCTGGAACACGTTAAGGCTGGCGCTTTTTTGATAACATGAACAGAACTAGAGAAAACTGGATCAATAGGTAAAGCTTTTCTTCCACTCGAAATCTAAAAATTAAATTCCAGTTTCGAAACTAGAAATCATTCATGTTTTTTTTTGCGCCATTTCCACGTTCGCATTTGGAGAGTGCTATTTACGTCTATTTGGAGAGTGCTATTTGGAGAGTGCTATTTGGAGAGTGCTATTTACGAATATATACCTAAGTGCATCCATAAATGCATCAGTGTATACGAAAGCACATCTGTAGTTATTCGAGACTTTTCCTGAAAAAAAAAAGCAAAAAAAAGCCCTATGTACTACGTTCATTACTCTAAAAAAAGAATCACAAGCTAGTTTAAAGACAACTTAAAAAATCAAATTTGAGCTTGATCAAATTTTAAAGACTTTTTCTTTATCAAAAACAAAAAACCGCACGATTTGAATAACTGACATCTAAAATAGTGTTACTCACGCAGTTGCTCGAAGTTTTTTATTTTGAGCAGCTGTTGCAGTATGGGGTCATAGTACTTCACTTTGAAGCCAGCTGTGGCGGCCAAGTCATTTGCATCCTAATCACAGACACGAGTAACCTGACATTAATTTACAAAAAAAAAAACAGAAACAGCACAAACTAATCAAAAATGCTCTAGAAGGTGCAGTTTGTGGTGATGCTAGCATATGAACTATAAAATTGCAATTCCCAACTAAGATAAAAGCTATCACTTGCAAGGTAGATCATATAGTCAAGTAAGTCACTGCTTACGTAGGTTTAAACAACTAATTTTTGGGTAAGAGGAGCTTTGTACTTCTCAAAAAAACACCTTGATATTGTTTTAAACTATTACCGGTCTCTGGTCTGGCTTTTCCAGTCCGGATATACATGACATGAGAAATGGGACTCTCCTCTTCAGCACATCATTCAGGGCAGTGGAGAGTAGATCCCTCAGAGCCAAGAAGGCGCCCATCATCGTCAACAGCTGATTTACTGTCTTCCTATCCTCTTTGTTAATCAGGGTGTCACCTGAAACCAATCTATTATTACAAACCAGGTTATTTTATGCACTAAACGTAAAAAAAAGACATTACACGAAAAAACTTATTGCTTTTATAACCCAAAAAATCAATACATTACGAGCCCAATCTGTTGCAGTGCGGACTTGAATGATAGTGGATTCCACAGAACAAATCGTTGTTTCCACAGTCATTTTAATGATTTTTATTATAGTATTGAACTTTGATATTGATTTCAACTTTGATCGGCTTTAAAAATTTATAACTCCACGCAGAGACGACGCCGAGTATATCATCACTTGCGGGCCAAGTGATGATATGCTTGGCATCGTCTCTGCAAGGAGTTCTCGATATTCTTCCCAAGCAATCCTAATCATGAAGCCTCCAAGCCAATTAAGGTTGAAATCAATGTAAGGCAAGAACTTAGTTTCATCAAAAAAACAGCGACACCAGCTGAGTTGCGAAGATTCACAATTTCTGTTCTGTCGATTAAAACCTTAACCTCAGATTTAGCAAGGTAATTTTCGAGAAATGGAAAAGTTCCAAAAAATGGTCAAATTTCAAAAATTTGACGTTTTCTAAAGCCAATACTCTTTTTCTATCAAAATTAGGGTGTAGTAGCTAATGCAGAGGAGATCCCAATAACACTCTTTTTTATTAGTCCCTTAATCTCAACTTTGCGATTGTAGTTGTCAAGAAAATCAAAATAAACCAAAAAATGGGTAAAAAAATCCCCACTGAAACGTCCATCCAGCACACAAGGGAGTAGGCGTTCTCTCCATTGATGCCACTTTTTCAAAAATAGGCAAAGTAGTTCTCGGGAAAAGCTGCAAAAAGTTTCATAAAAGCAAAAACTAATTTAGTAGCGCAAAACTAATTAGTTTCGCATAAAAGTTTAACATAAAAGTTTCGCAAAAACTAATTTAAAATCCCAAACTCTACACATTTTCATAATACCTATTTTTATCGGACAGAAACTAGCCGCCAATAAACCAGATAAAAAATATACATCTATGGTGCAAAAGTAAACCAGATATGAAAAAGCAAAAGTTCACCACCAAACAAACTCGCACTTTTAGTTGCGACTTAGATTGAAAAAAAGATTGGTGCGTTTTATAAATTTATGACCGGTGCTTTTTTGATAGATGTAACTCAATTTGAGAAACTGGATCAATAGGTAAAAAATTTTAGCTTGCTGGGAAATCTGATGAACCCATTCCATTTTCGAAATAAGACGCCAACCGCGTTTTTCGTGACTTTTTTTTATTTTTGCTATTCGGCGGAGTTTGCTTTCTTTTTAACAAGGGAAATGAACTAACTTAAAAAATCAAAATTCAAACCGCAAAAAAAAGTCAATTTGAGACTCTTCCTGAAAAAAAACGTTAAAAAATCATCGCGACCTATGTAAGAGTCTGAACTATGTATGAATATAATTCCTTTGAAGATGGCCTCGAAGCTCTTTGAATTTCAAGATCACTTTATGATTGACACTTTTATGATTCAACAAACACTTTTTAAGAAAACAGGAACAACATATAATTTTATTCCACTGAAATCTAAAAATTAAAACCCACTTTTCAAACTAGAAGTCGTTCGTTCTTTCGCTTTTGTTTTTGGTGAGCGCAAGTTGACTAATTTTCAGCAAAAGATTTTGAATTGAACTTAAAAAGTGCATAAATACTTTAGAGCATTCATAAATGCCTTACATCTATGAATGCACTGCTAAAGTTATAAGAGCATTATACGATTTTTTTAATTATAAATTTTTTTTAACCCTATATACAACGGTTAGAATTGTAGATATAGCATTTACTAGTTACTTGTAGTCAGTAGTTAAAATTGAATTGTCAAGAAATAGAGCACGTCAGCAGCATTGTTAACCCGAAAAAGTCTATATTCCGATTTAACAAAGCTTCGTAGAACCATGCCGATTATAGCAAAAAAAAAACTGGCTTGTCTTACCTAATTTGACTGCGTCTCCTGGCTTGGACTCTATCAGCTGGTAAATTTGGTTCAACTTCGGGGCCCTCTCATTTGCCAATTTCTAAAAATAAAGCAGTTGGTACGTACGGTACAGATTTTTTGTTAACTGACCGCAGGGTTTTCATGAGAATTTCGAGAAATCTTTCGTAACATTAATAGATTATTCCACCGCCCCGCCAATAGCTTGCCTTTAGTTCCTGATACTGAGCTAATATCTTCTGCGAGATGACCTCGTTGATATATCGCACTCCATAGGGTCCAATCATCTCAGCCAGACAGCGCAGCTCAGTGATATCCGAGAACTCCTCCACTGGAAAAGGAATCTCCGGTAGCTGGTTTTTAGCCAGAGGTGCCGTGGGAACTGCCAGAGATATGAAGCACTGGAAACGAATAAGCAGAAAATTTGGAATTTGGATGAATACGAATCTATATCAAAGCTCTAAAGCGATTACAAATTTTTTTTCTCTAAAATAGTCCCTTTTCCTTTGATAAATACTTCGAAGACAAGAGAAAGGGAGCGCTCGAAATAATAAAAAGTAGACTAGATGAATACCCAATAACTCCTCTGTAAAGAAGTATTTCTCGGGCCATAATACCTGACTTGTCGATGTAAGAGCCAGCAGAATTTTTTTATATATTCAAGCAATGAATAAAAACTTAGCCAGCAGACAGTGTCAGACAGACAGAAGTGTCAAAGGAATTGAGGCTACCAAAAACTGATTTCTTGAAACAGAGCCGAAGCAGAACTTCGCACCACTTTCGATATATCTCAAACAAAGCATGGCTATGTAGCCCAGTAAAAGAATGAGCCTACTAATTCTTTCATATCACGATTTGCCTCGAATGAATATTCTTGTGAAAGAATCATGTCAAGAATGACAACTGTCGCCTTTAGCATTACAACAAATATCACAAAGCAGAAACTCAAACCGACAATACGTGGGTAGATGACCGTTGCGCCGAAGAAAAAAGTTGCCTTAAGAACTTGAGCCCAAAAAAACTTGATACTCGAAGTTTAAAAGTCCCCCTCGGCATGAAAGTATGATTATTGCCCAATACCCAACAAATGTTGCAATATGAGACTACTAAGCATTCATAACATATGCCGACAAAATTTTTAAGCTGGAGAAACCTTTAAAAGTTTTCAGGGAAATTATTAGAAAACAAATTTCGACGGCGAAACTGCGCTTCGCAAACACTTGCGAGAACACGACAAGAAGAAGCTCTATAAAATGTAAAAAGAAAAAGGTAAAAATTAGTAAAAACTCTGCTACGTCTCGGATTTGTTTAGGAACTAACCACTCAGCCACGAACGCTTAATAAATCAGAAATACTAGCCACAAATGAAGCAGAAAACAGATGCTATGAAAATTCCACAGCTACAGATTGTGATTGCAGCAAAAGTACCACCAAATAGGTGAAAACTATAAATTAAAAGGTTTATTTGCGAGTTAAGTTAGAAAAATAATAAGGTTCGTATTAATACAGTAACCCTCACAAGCTCCTAGTGTAAACATAGCGGGTATTGAAATGCACATAATCTCAATATACATCTATTGCACTAAACTTCCAACCGAGG